GGACATCTTGAAATGAGAATCGGTTAGTACAGTCACTTCGCACAAAGATTTGTAGCACTGCCATATGCCAATGAGAAACACACCAACACCATTGATGTAAAAATACTGAAATTGTTACTTTACAGAATTGCTAGATGACCAGATGCTGGGGGCAGAGGAAGCATGTTCACTGCAGACCAAGTAACCCATATAGTCATTATGGCGATTGCAAATAATCCTATACTTGGAAATAAACACTTGTGTTTGTTTTGATGTGTTTGAATAAACACCAGTACTTGAAGTTTGGATCCCTCTATGCTTATGGATCTATGACAGAAGTATGAGCTCAAACTGACATAGCCTACCTTGTGCACAGGGAAAGCAAAAGCCAGATGTGTTTTGTATTCATACCATCAGTGTGCAGTTGGCGCATTGTGTGCTTAGTAGATGATGGCTTGTGTGTACTGTTTGATACGGAAACACCATTTTTACGAAGGTGTGAAGAGTTAATCTAGCTGTGTTTGCTTTTGCAAGAGAACTACAATGTTTTGATTATTGGTTGACAGGTTTTCTTATTTGTGTGAAGAGTTTTGCAAAATTAGCCAATAGTTACAATAAATGTGCTTAAGCAATCAGAAAAAACTGTAAAACCTTTAATTCTACATTAAAAATACAGACATAAAGATGAATGTCATGCACCAAAGGCCATTTTCTACTCATCAGAACCCTGTGCCATCTTAGTTAAGTAGCATAGTCATGTAATATTAACTCTAATTTTTAAAAATAACTATTACTCATAAAAGCATAGCTACAAATTAACAAGTTACACTGATGTAGTGATTTTTGATATTACAGTATAGGTCACTGCTTGCATATGTACTGTGACATCAATGCATCTCTTTAGAGTTGCACTGGAGGTGCATTCAGCTTGCTCCTCACTTTCTAACAATAGGTGTCATTGCTCAAAAAAAAACAAATTACCACTTGACTGCTGGACAGAAATAAAAGTTGAAAAAGGAAACAAACTAACAAAAAAATATCAAAACTTCTAATTTTCTCCAAAGTTTGCACCACTATGATTAAAAAATGAATTTAAAAAATTATTCCACTGCCTATTTTTTCTTGCTTAAGAATATTTTACATGTTTTGCCTTACTAAAAACTGAATGGTCTTGTTCAAGACAGAGGAATGGGAACACTAACAAACCACTGTTTAATGCAGTGTTTCATTCAGCAGTGGAATATTTCCCTGGAGCACCTGCTTTGTAAAAGTTTCTTCCATCTCCCAAAATATCTCTTGTTCAAAGGTTGATCTGCCACATTCCCCACTGTACTAATGTTAACATAAAGCACCTTACATAAGGCCTATATAAGCTACCTGAAGTGTCTGTCAGTAGTGTTAGCTTTGAAAATTTCTGACCATAAAAGGAACTCCATGATAGTTTTAAAAAAGGTGATAAAAATAGCATGTAGGGTGTAACATGATGTTTTGGAAGCAATACCACACCTCTAATCTTCTCAATGAATTACTGCTCTTGGATAGGTCAAGCAAAAGGACAGAGGGCCTGTTCAAATAGACATAATATGAAAAGAGAGTATCCATTGCACTTCTTGAGGACAACTTGCCTGAAAACATACACAAACAAGAAAAATAAACAAGAAGCACTCAGCGAGTGCAAACCTCCACCAAGGCTGCTCACAGCAGCTTTTACTTTTGTTTTATTTTTTAATATGTATCTTTAAAAGTTTGTAGTGCAGTAAAATAGCACGTTTTGGGGTCAACTTCAAAGAAAGGCAGATGTCAGATATTTGGTCAAAGTTGACATGATACTTATAATGTGATATTTAAAGTCACCATATATCTGTATCATTTCCTAAATGTTACCAATACAAACAAAGGCATTTTAAGCATAGTTCTAAATGTAATATATTTTATGAAAGGTTTAACTTATTTGACCTTGAAGGAGGGGTCAGAGGTCAAATGTGACATGATATTTGAAATCCTTAATTATTTATTTATATCTTTATGGTACTTTCTATATGTTGACAATACACACCACAGTTGTAAGAATCATAGTTTGTAAGTTTTAGGGCTCTTTGTTAATTTTTGACCAATAAACGATTTAGCTGACCTTAAAGACCTTGGGTGCTGCAAGGCCAGTTTTAATGAATTGCTATAATGAACACACTGTAGAACCATACAAAGTTTTACCCAAACTCATCCAAAACTTTTAGAGCGATTCTGTTTACAGACAGAACGATGATTTGCATGCACGCATTACTAAAAACATGTTGGTGGAGGTAAAATAACCACAAAGATGATGACTAGAGCCTAAAACTACATATAAAATAAATTTTAAAGGTGCTAAACAAGAATTAGCATTTTCTTTGAGGTTGACAGTGATAATTTGTGACATGGATAGACACAATATGTTAAGGTTGCTAACTGCAACCCTTTTTTCATTTGTGTAAACCAGCCAAGTAAATATCCAAAAAGTAAATATGCATGGTGCCCCTAAAGGTGTGCCAATAATCCCCTTAGAAATAGTGTCAAAGCTTGACTTAGCAACACTTCAGGTAATCAGGCATTTGTTACACCAGGTGGATATCTTTTTTTGAAGAAAAGGTAAGGGAATAAGGTGAAAAAATAAAACAGTCACCACACTACAAAGTAGTGCACAGACAAAATCCTGAAGAAAGGCACCAATCTGTCTAAAGATCACAAAAAAATGTAAAGCAACTAATAATCCCAGGTCATGGAAGGTAATAAGAGATATTTCTAACACGAGAATGATCACAAGGAGCCAAAAACAAAAGACAATGGAGAATGCAATGCAACAGATTTCCATTTGAAAGCTTGACACTGTGAGTCTTTAAAACAAGGAAGTCAAAATAGCCAATTTTGAAATCTAACTATTTTGAAACAGCTATTTAGTACCAGATATATCTTTAAAAAGATATAAAATATATAAAATATGATTTGTCCTTCTTAAAATCTACTCTGACACGCTGCTTGCTGGAATTAACAATTAAAATAGAATTAGCGCTTTGCCATATCATACCATTCACAGTAATTACCGGCATAATGTTGGGCAACGATAAGAAAATGAAATATCGTGATAGAATGTGGGTAAAACGCACATGCACAATGCCTTTGTTTTCATACGCACATGGCAGAAAAAGCATGTCGGCGACGCAGAATGAGAAGGGCGAAAGCTGAAAGTTGAATGAAACAGATGAACCAGAACTGGTTTGTAAAAATGCTGCAGCTTCAGTGGTGTGGAACTGGGTTGGCTTTCGTCCGTCAGATACACAACAAAGCACTATTTTTGGTAGAGCATGCCAGCGGGCCGTCATTATTACCGTGTTGTTTGGAAAATACGGCACACTTAAAATCAATCCTTTGATTTTTCTGAAAATCGACAGTGTTATAAAAGTTATAATCCCGTGTGCCTCATGTATGAACTCTGGTTGTGTTTACTGACCTTGAAACGATTTTATGTACACGGCGCTCGAAAATCTGTCAAATGTTTCAGTACGACTTTGCTAAGCTTCAACATAATATTACCGTGTTGTGTGTATAACCCCTTTTTAAGATTTGTGGATATTATACATGGTTATGCTGAGGATATGTCGGCCAATTTCCACTGGAAATGCCTTTTGGTTAAACTGTCAGCAAGGAATTTTCATTTGCACTGTTAAATTTTATATAACTTTAATGCACTTAGAAAACAGCTGCTTGTTTAAGTGGTTTTTTTGCACTAATAAAGTTGTGGAGTTGTAAAGTATTTTGTCTAGTGTCAATTATATTGTCAGTTATATCGTTATCGCAAATTTTCAAATGTATATCGTGATAAATAATTTTGGTCATATCGCCCTGCTCAAAATCACACTTTGCTGTTTTATAACCTTAACTTGTTTTGTCATCTACAGTTAGAGACAAAGCACAACTGAAAATGTTTTAAATATTTTAAGGAATATAGCAAACAACAAGGTAAGTTTACAATGTGTTTGTACTTGATAGTAAAGCTTATTATTTATTTAATATCTCACTATACTGTAAGTGTATTCTTCCTCCAAATCGCTTCACTGCACTTTCCTGTTTGGTGCATTTGTCATTTTTTAATTTTGACTTTATTCTCTGGAGGCTGTGTACTGTAGTTTAATGTTTGCACAGAGTGGCACTAAGAAATGTTCACTTTGTCTTTCTTTGTGCCACTGAATTATTCATGAAATTTTTCCTGCCTTATCAGATTGTATTTTCTCTCTGACAGTAAATATGGGACATGTACTAAATTGTTTTCTAATTACCATGAAACACACTTTTTATTGCACTAAATTTATATCATAAGAAGGCATTCTGCAGCATCAGTTCAATGTATGTCTATTTTAACTACACATAAAACCAGAAGCAAGTTTTACATGCTGATAAATCTATCATTAAACACTACGCCACTTTATGTGGGAGTTTTGCTCTCTCTTCTTTTTTGAAATCTCTGTGATCTAGTAACTGACACTAGAAAGATTCAAATCACTCAAACCAATAGCTCAAGTTCTAAAGTCTAACTACAATAGGATTTTTAAAACGAATTTAAAAAATCCAATATTCCAATATATCATCTGATATTTCTTCTTTGTCAGACACGCACAGCCAATATATTTGCCAGAATCTATCACACACAAAATGTCCAGTTATAATAAAAAATGCAACCAGCTAAAATAATTTACACATATTATATATGACCTGTCTACAAGATATCAATCATGTCTTGTAATGAAACACATGAACTCTTTGAGGTGCTGCGTTTTTGTAACCTCACTTTAAATGACATCAAATCAAAATCTTCCTGCCCTGAGCTCTTAATGCGCTGCATTCAAACAACCACTATCGTACAGATCGAACATCCATTTAGCCAGTAAATCGTATCACCTCAGTTTGCATTCTTTGAAAATAGATTTTGCACACCAAGTACAGAAACATTAGCATGTTGCGAGCATGTGTGTTAGTGTGTGTGTGCTGACCATTGAGTCCTCGTCAGCGATGAAGACGGTACAAGCCTGGGCCTGCATGAAGGACAGGATGGTTCCTGCAATCTTTCTCAGTAAAACCTCCAGACACTGCTGCTCCTCAAAGATCAGACTGGCCAGGTCCAGCAACACCTACAAACACATACACACACATAAACATCATTTATGGATCTGAGCGTGACTGTATGTTCACGCTAACCTTCAGAAAAACACATTCGCACACACCTGATTGCGTCTGTTTTCCAGCTGCGACGTCTCATACAGCTGTGCGTTGTGTAGTACAATGCCTGAAAACGCCAAATAAGCTGAGAAGTCCTGTTGGAAAGAAACAGAGCAACATCTGAGTACCAGAAAGAGAGGAAAAATAAAGGGAAAAATGTACGCAAAAAGATAAATTAGCAAATTAGAGAGCAACGAGAGGATGACATGAGCAGGGAAATATGGAGAAAGAAGGATTTTATTAAAGGATGGCTTCTTAAAATCTGATCCGCAGTTATATTTTAACAGATATAAGTCATATTGTCCAACACAAGTACAAAGTAACACACTTTGATGATGTCTTGGTGAAAATTCAAATGTTTTTAAATTGAAAAAAGTGTTATTTTAGGTGGAACCATGATGTAACCTTTTCATCCTGCTCAGTGAAGGCTCCACCGTCCCCGCATTTCTTGTTTATAGCCTGAGCCACTCCAACTACCTGCGATAAATTAAAAGAAAATGTTAAGTGAAAACCAGCAAAATAACATATTAAACTAGTATTGCAATAAGAAGGGAAACATCATCAGTCTGAATGTGCACTGATGTGAGCATACTTCATTCATATTACATTTAAATTATCTGCTAATTAATGTTATTAAAAGTTATACTAATAGGGAAACTGAAAGTTTGGTTTGGATAAGACGTATCAAGGTTCTTTTTAAATGGAGAATGGGGGCACAAATCTATGTAATGTTTTAATGGCTGCAGAGGCTCACACAACTGCAAATCACGAGTCATGTCATAATGCATGAATTATCTTTAGCTTCTCTCAAAGATGCATGCTCAATCATCGTCCAGATGCATGCCCAGTAAGGGGCTTCTCTAAAAGAATTAAAAAGAATTAAAAAGAATAAAAGAATGTGCCTTTTAAACGAATAAGTACAGTAAACTCTGCCAAACTGCTAAGCTGTGTGTGGAGAGTCTTATTGCTAGTACGCTGGAGAAAAAAAAGAAAAGGTTGTCAAAAAAGAAACGCTTTCTCAAGCAGATAATTCGAGATCTCAGATTTGATTGCTGTAATAGCCAGCACACACTGGACAAGAAGCTCCACTAGAATTTAAACATCTTATCTATGTAAAGGTAAAGTAAGGTTTAAAACAAACCATAACAAATTATATTGATCATGGCATCTCACCTCGTCTCTGTGGTTCTTGATAGGCAGACAAAGGATACTTTGGGTTTTGTAACCTGTGATGTGGTCGACCTCAGCGTTAAACCTGGGGTCCTGGGGGAACAAGAACATGCATATAACCCTTTTCAAAGAGCTGCTATCAAACATTTTGATACTTACATTAGCTTTCAATAGACACTGTTGTGGTTTTTTGCGCTGTAGCTTTTGAATGAAAATGCAAAAGCAATATTGTGATCCTAACCCTGTGAGCCAAAAGGTTTATGCTTCAAACATCTCTGAATGCTCAGCTTTTTGTGTTTTTGTAGTGTATCAAAGTACAAGCTGTTGAACAAGCAGGCGTGAGGCACTCCCATCTGTTGAACAACCAGTTCAGTGACCTGTACTCACCACAACTGGGTGTCCAATTTGCATAAAGAAGCAGATACTCTGTAGTAGCTGAACACCTGCAGCTACAATCATTATGCAAACAAATGCCTCGCTCTTCTCCAAAACAAACACCTCACGTGCATTAGAACTCTTATTGTTTGGGATCAGTGACAAAGAGCCTAACAAGAGCATACTAGGACCGCGGATGGAGACATGTTTTGTTTAGAGAACTATTCCCCTGTTTGCAGCTCTGCCACCCACCAGCTGACCTTTAAACACTCGGCTTCTATGTCCATTTCTATGATTCTCTAGACCCAAGAGATTTGTGTGTTTGTGTGTTGACAAAAACATGCATACAAGAGGAGTCCTACACTGACTTCACAGTTACACTCTTAACACAGCAAGTAATGGATTATATGACTGGCTCAGCCCTCAGTGGTGTACACACCGCTGTGTGTTGATACTATGAAAACAATACAGGCACACAGTGCATCATGCAAACAATGTACAATCTGTAGTAGCTTCATGTCCAGTGCTGCAATACAAAGTATAATAGGGAGCGCCAGAGCACTTTGGTCTCAGACTGCATTCTCTAAAGGTAGAATGGGAGGCAGAGCTGTCAGATATCAGGACCCTCCCAGTTTGGGTTCTGGAGACAAACACCTCTATTTTTAGGATTTCTTTTACCCTTCTTCTACCCTCGCCTCTTTTTGCTACCCATGTGTTTTATATACAACTACTGCATGCCCTCAACTTTTACCTTTTCTCTCCCATAGTTTGTGTTTAGTCCTTATCTCTGTATACGCTCCTTTTTTCTCATTTCTCTTCACTTCACCGCTGCTCCTCCCTTCAACTGATTTTACCAGGGATCTCTTTGTGTTAAGAGGGGGATACTAATAAGGAAGAATTCGTTAAATTGCTGCTGCTTTCTCTATAACATTGTAGGCTTTACCTTACAATACAAAGCACCTAGAGGTGACTGTTGTGAATTAGTGCTATATAAATAAAACAATAAATAAAAGTTTAAAAAAAATTGAATTAAATAGTATTACAGGTTGTATTGCTTTTTGTCAGCATGTGTTCGAGCTGTTCAGTAGTTTTTTTGAAAGAATTATCACCTCAAAACTCAATCTGTTGCTTTAATTTTCTCAGAAATCCTTAATTTCAGTATAAATTATATGACTCATTTTCTACACAGTGAAAGGCCATTCAGTGAGACACAGCACTTTGGCAAACATTTGGTTCCATTCCTGAAAAGGTGCTCCCAGTTTAATTCAGCAATCCAGCACGCAGCACTAATAAGCTGATCACCGTCCACACACACACACAAGCTCCTTTGTAAATTGGTTTGGTCCAGGCTATTTCGAAAACACATTATTTAGTCCACTCCACAGAGAGCTGTATTAATATAAACGGGCAGAGGTGGAGCTGTTTTGGCCTGTGCTGCTGAAGTCAATGTAATCCTGTGCAGACTAATGGGAAGTTAAAGATCCAATCAGAGGGTTGGGGACTCCGTCAGATGATGTCGATAGACTTCCTGGAAGCAGTACGAGGTTCTGCAGCAGCACACAGGCATGTGTGTTCACACACACACACACAGCTTGCCACATCTACACTGACTGTCAGACTAACACACTGCATTTACCAACACAGCTGCAGTTGTGGCAGGGAGGCGATGCATACACAAACATTACGCATTATTATATTTGAACACAAATACGAGGAACTATAAAGCAAATAAGGTCAGCCATAGAAGCACAAATTAAATCTGACCTGGAAAACAAATCTCATATGTGCACTTTTTTTTTTACATTTCATGACACAAATCCATGCAGGCATTAATTATACACAATTATAATTTCTTCTGGGATTAATAAAGAACTCTGATTCTGATTCACACACAGACACACTCAAAAACACTTGAACCCCCAAGTGCACACTTAGCAGGTACACACACACACACACACACACCCACACACCCACACACCCACACACACACACACATGCACATGCACATCCCATAAGTCATTCTTGATCTGTTCCTCTCTCTCTTTCTCTTCCAGCTCCATAATCATCATCTTGTGGTTGGCAGGCAACCAGATGACAGTGTTATCAAAGGAGGATGGTACCCAGCAGGAAATCTTTTTTGCACACACAGAATCACACCACACCAGTCCATCTTATTTGCTGCTGTGCATGTTTTGATTTACAGTGTCATGCAAAAAGTCTTGAGCTTCCCTTCATTTCTTTATTTTGCTTCAAGCCTACCAGACCATTTTGTAATTTTTAAAGTGGTCTTGGGCAGCAGTATTCCAGGCTTTTGGAAGGTCTTTCAAAGGGTTTATTTGGGCATTGGTGGATTTTTTTTTTACTCTAGTCCTTGTACCGGACTATTTTCAGAGGAATGGTTCTATATTTATTGAGACACTTAACAGAGATTATTAATTAAGCCTGTCACAAAAACACATAACACAGTTATTCCAATTTCTTTAGCTGAATCTTTGAAAAATTACAAAGATAAAACAGTCTGACAGGCATGAAACTGCATTTTTACCCCAACAACATTATTATCAAAGAACTATTAGCTGAAAACTTGGCATATCTTATCATGGTGTGTGGCGTATAGTATTTACAGCAGATTGACAGAATCAAAAAATACAGAGAAACAACAACAGGGAGATGCATTTGGCCCTTCAGATGCATCTACTCATAGCTAAATTTCAGCGAGTGGTGTTGGGCATCTTGTCAAAATTGATCAAATTATGAATGCAATCTGGAAAGTATGTGATTAGCAACATGCTCATTTTTCAGTATGACAACGATACCAAACACACTGCCAATGCAGTACAAGCATAACAGCAGCATGCTAACAGTCAGGTACTTGCTTCCCCTGTACTCGGGATTTGTCCTGTAGAACATGGATGCTTTTGTCCTATATAGCTGTAATCAGGCCTCTAATTTGCCTTTTATCTGTGCACAGGTGCAAAAAAGAAGAGCAGCTTATGCATGACAGTAGAAACAGGCATCTAATTATTCATGTGCCAAAACACATTAAGGTTCTATTGGCAAGAATTCAACAATCCAGCACCTCCACATGGCATTCATGTTTTCTGGTTTACACAGCATCTACACAGCATTTATACAAAATGAGCTTTTGTTTAAAAGAAATGTTATTTATATTTTTATAAATATGCTCTATATAACGTTGTTATATTTTAACAACATGGTGCCTAATTTATGTTTGTAAATATATTTAGCAAAACAATTTTTAATGCAGTGGCAGTTTGGGGTCACTGTGCAGAAATGAATGTGCTGTCATTCATATCTGTAAATAAATGCTCATCAAACACTGATGCTATTAGTACCTGTCGCTTTGTGTTACATTACATAAAGCTTTACATAAAGCTTGCAAAAAAATAAGAAGACTAATTATACAGTAAGGGAAAAAATATTTGAACTGCCAGCTGATTTTGTAAGTTTTCCCACTAACAAAGAAATGATCAGTCTATAATTTCAATGGTAGGTTTATTTGAACAGTGATAAATTAGGTTACAAATTAATTTGCATTTTGATGAATGAAACAAGTATTTGATCTCCTATTAGTGAGCAAGATTTCTGGATCCTAGGTGTATTTTATACAGGTAACAAGCTGACACTGGGAGCCTTCTCAACTAGTTACCTGTATAAAAGAACGCTGTTCACCATGCCCAAGACCAAAGAGCTTTCTAAGGATGTCAGGGACAAGATTGTGGACCTACATAAGGCTGGAATGAGCTACAAGACCATTGCCAAGCAGCTGGGTGAGAAGGTGGCATCAGCTGGTGCGAACATTCGCAAATTGAAGAACCATAAAATAACTCCCTCAATCCGGAGCTCCACGCAAGATCTCACCCCGTGGAGTTTCAATGACAATGAGAACAGTCTGGAACCAGCCCAGAACGCTAGTTACCAAGAAAACAGTTGGTAACACACTATACCGTGAAGGACTGAAATCCTGCAGTGCCCACAAGGTCCCCCTGCTCAAGAAAGCCCATGTACAGGCCTGTTTGAGATTTCCCACTGAACATCTCAATGATTCAGAGGAGGACTGGGTGAAAGTGTTGTGGTCAGATGAGACCGCAATCAAGCTATTTGGCATCAACTCGTGTTTGGAGGAGAAGAAGGAAAACTGCCTATGAGTCCAAGAACACTGTCCCCACCGTCAAACATGGAGGTGGAAACATTATGCTGTGGGAGTGTTTTTCTGCCAACGGGACAGGACAACTGCACCACATCACAGAGAGGATGAATGGGGCCACGTACCGTCAAATCTTGGGTGAGAACATCCTTCCCTCGAACAGGGCATCGAAAATGGGTATGGGTGGGTATTCCAACATGACAATGATCCAAAACAAGCGGCCAAAGAAACAAAGGATTGGCTCAAGAAGAAGCATATTAAGGTCTTGGAGGGGCCTAGTCAGTCTCCAGACCTTAATCCCACAGCTGAAGGTTCAAGCTGCCAAACATCAGCCACAAAACAATAATGACAAGGATAGGATCTGCAAAGAAGAATGCCACAAAATCCTCCCTGAGATGTGTGCAAAATTTGTGGCCAACTACAAGACACGTTTGACCTTCGGTTTTGCGACTAAGCACTTTTTTCAAAGGGATCAAATACTTATTTCCTGCATGAAAATGCAAATTATTAACTTTTTTCTGGATTTTTTGGTTATTGTTCTGTCTCTCGCTGTTCAGACAAACCTACCATTGAAATTATAGACTGATCATTTCTTTGTTAGTGGCCAAACTTACAAAATCAGCAGGGGTTTAAATAATTTTCTGACTGTATGTATTTCTTTTTTATTTGTTTGGTTGTTGTCAGCAGCTGTTTTGCCATGTGGCTATACAGAGTGATATGAAAAAACACAACCAATGTATGTTTTATTACATGACCAAAGCCAACAGGCACTGCAAGCCTCCCAAAAATTTAATCGCTAGTTTGTATTACGTCCATACGTCCACATGTGTGGTAAAAGCTGAAACTCGAGAGGAGCACTTTGACCTACTCACCCTCTTTGGTTCCTCTCATATCCACTGAGCTCTATCAGCAAGAATGATCAAACTAAACTAAAGCATACGTAAGTCTGTTTTTGAACACCCACATACACACGGCAAATCAGCTCATGTAAGATACTTTAACTGATGCTGCTAAAGATCTCTGTTTTTAAAGAAGACTTAAAAGTGCTCACCTCGTAAGCATTCTTGATATTGAGTGGTTGTCCCGTAGAAGCTACGTGTCCCACAATCCCTTTGTTCCACTCCAGTCGGATAGAGTTACTGGAAGATTCTTCCAGTGTGGTTCCTTCTGCCACATCAAACAGCCGGCTGACCAAGAACTTCCTGTTTGAGCTATCCTCACCCACCTGAGACCAAAAACAAAAAGTAGCAACACAACTGAAATAAAACTAATGACTGAAATAGAAGTTATAAGCCAATACTGTACATATGACAAAAACACAAATAATTGTGTTTTTTTTTTTGCATGTTCCAGTTTTGGTGACTGTTAGCATCTTATATTTAGAGTTTAACTTTTTATTCCAAAAGACTAAATCATAAAAAAATGATATAGAGGAATTTTTAGCATTTACAACATAGCATTTATAGCAAAGTAATATTGCTACACTCTTTTTTTATCACAGTGTTAAGAGAGCATCACAATAACTGTGAAATATGAACTAAACCACAGCCTGCTTTTGTTTTTACCAGATGACCGTGCGCTATAGTCACTTCCTTTCTTTCCAAGATGAGACAAGAACAGAGCTAGAGCCAGAGGGTAATTAACTTAGCTAAGCATGCTAATCACTTCTAGCTTGCAACACAAGTACCTGATACCTGTATTAAAGCTCCATCCAACTCTGAAAAACACTGCTCAGAATCAAATTTTTAAATGTGTAACTACTGCTTTAAGCTTACCGCTAATGATAAACTTATGAAATGAAATAACATTCATGCATACATGTAACTTTTTGTTAGGGAGCACAGTGACAGGCTTAGTGACAGGAGATTTACGTTGTTCTACATAAACTGTTAAATAAAACGAGGGTGGCAATGTAATACGCTTCTTGTAACATACTAGTGAGCATATAAAGAGGCGTATCTTCTTTTTGTGCTCTGCAACAGTTAAATCAGTTACAACTGTAGCTTTCTTTCCTGACGTACCAGAAACAGTGAGTAGCGGTCTGCAGCAATCAGCTCATTGATGTGGAGGAAGATCTTATGGCAGAGCGCTGTCACATCCAGATGACTCGATACATCCTTCACCAGCTCCAGCAGCCTGGCACAGCGGTCACCCTCAAGACCACCACCACATCCATTCCCACCTCCCCCACCAATACCACCCTCACCCATCACCAAGCCCCTCACAGGGACAATTTCACGGTCAGCGTCACTCAAAAATGTCAGCGAGCCCTCTGAGTCTTTAACCACAATGGGTCTGAGTGGGCGGTCAAACTCTGACGCTGAGATTTTGCGAGTTGGGGTACCAGGGGCCGGGCTGGAGACTGTAGCTGGGGATGGACAGCGGTTGTCCAAGTGGCTGAGGGTAGGTGGGAGGATGGTGGAGGCACAGGAAGGGCCAAGGTCAGTGGTGGGCTGGTGGGCTCGCTGCTGTGAAGGACTTTCTTTGGACACAGATGGCTGAAAGGAATGGATGCGTTCAGCAAACCAGGCATTCACCATCTCCCTGTCAAAATTAAAAAGAAAATGTCCGTCAGAAGTTTTTAGAATATCTCCAAAACATTATGACCACCCACAACTAAAAGGCTGTTGGCACTTGGCATGATACCAAAACAGCTTTAGACCACATAAGCCTTGCCTGCACAAGTACACATATTGACCAGAAGAACTGTCTTACTTACCCACACATATATCTCAAACCTTAATATGCTCCATTGTTAGATCTATTGTTAGGAGGTAATCAGTCTAATTTGCTTCAACTGTGACTAGACATACTGTTTTGGCTCATAGGGTTAGATTACCTGCAGATATACTATATTATATATGAAGCCTTTTTGAGTAAATGCACAAGGCAAATTGATTGACAGGTAGACTGTGAGTAGTGCTGTGTTGCTAATCAAAGCCAAACTCCTGCACAAATTCTTGTCTGCTACTGCATCAAAACAAAAACAGACATTAATCAAGAACAGTTTGCCGAAATTTATTCTGCAATTAGAATAAAAATGGAGAACGATACGAATTCAAATCATTTGTTAGGCATCTCATTACAGGCTGAATTTTAAATTTTTTCCATCATGAAATGAGTTCCATGCCCGTGTAGTGGAAAGAAGAAGAACATTAAAATTTAACCAGATGATCACATTATACACACTTTAATCTAATAAAAATCTCTTCTTTGTACCTAATCAAAGCTCACAAGCTTCAACTTCAAAAGGACTTAGTTGAGATGAGGATCACAGAGCTTCCACACCAAAAGAACAGGATCAGCATCGACTGAACATAAATTACAGAGGTTCCATAAAACCTGTTTACATCAACTAACTGAAATCCAACTCAAATGAATGAAAACAGTGCAAAAATGACCAAAGTTACAAAAGAATTGTTGATTATGTACAAACAAACATGCGTCTTCAGCTGCTCTTCATTCAATGTAATAACTCATGAAAACTATTCCTTCTTATTCCTTCTTGCATTTTAAGTCTGAAGCTGATGCTATCCTTTAGGGAGAATGGAAGTTTTGCTGACCAACATTCATGAGGGCACGTGGGACAGAAAAGAGTCAATAATTTGCTGGAGAAACAAGCTGTTGGTTCTTAAGTCTACTTCTAAGGATGCAATCTAATCCTGACTCAAGAAAGCTGGACAGGGTCTCAATGACTGCTGGGAGATTTATGAAATTCAATTCTATTCTCTGCATTTACGACATCACACATCAACATCAACTCAGTATCAGCAGACACCTCGACATAAAAGTGTCAGGAGTTTACAGATGTTTAAATGCAATGATAAAACACTGAATTCCAAAGTCCTCCATGGCTCTACTTTTGCAAAACCCCATCTGAGCCTATATATCTGAGAAGACTACCCACGCTGACCTGCCAATTATTTCCAAGTACACTAACAAACAGCATACAGTAAGTTATACAACCTGCAATATTTCTTATTATAAAATTAACCACAAACTTTATGCAAAAGAAATAACTAAAAGCAGGCTGTCTCTCACTGTGGCTCAGGACACAAACAGCTGAAATTGTGTTCATAAACAGCCAGACCACCTTCAAAATGAATCTCAAATACTTGAAAGTATTCAGAGTTAGCCTTTAAATTTAATAAGAGAAAGCTTGCAAAAAGATTTAGAAATAAATGTACAAGTGAGAGTGAGAAAGAGATGAAATGTTGAGCAAGCAGAGTGCTCTTTACATGCTTAGAAGATGAAATTATTATATGATATTAAATAACAGTAAACAGTGATAACAATGTAAATTGAATGAATGTAAATGCAGCAGTAGCCAGAATACTTTTATCAAGGCTATGTGTTTATGTGTGTTTGTGTGTGAGATAACCACTGGAAGCCTCTAATGATGACATTTACTGGAACAAATCAAATATGAGTGTGTGTATTAGACAGAGTGTATGCTAGTGTGTAAACAGAAACATTAAATTGAATGTGATTATGGAGAATCTCTCCAATCAGCCAACACATTGTCTAATCAACCCACACACATTTCGAGCATGCACTCCACTTCAGGTCCAGTTTTCAAACGCGCCGAAGGTCATGTGACTCATTCTGTTTCTATGCCTGTCACCAAAGCTCTGTTCACCTGAACGGAAGGTCAGAACCTTGAGAAGGTGATAAAAAGTGCTGGCTGTGAAATTGTCCGTGGTATCTTGGGCATATCCAAGCAAGTAAAACTTTGTAGGAGACAAAGTGCTCGTTATGTGCAGTTTCTCAGAGGTCCTCTCCTCCTCCATCTCCCATTGAGCTGCCTGACTCCCCACAGGGCTGACCCTAATGTATCCAGGGGATGTGTGGCTGAATCAATACCTCTCTAAGAAATGCCTCTCAACCAGAACTGCAGAATGGCTGATGTGTGCAAACCTCTTGCTCCAAGCCAATCAACTTTTTTGCTTTAGTAATGTGGTCAAAAAACGCAGGAGGGAGAGAAAAAAAATGTCCTCTGACAATGGAAAATATTTCAAGATGGACTTGGGATGTTGTGACAGATGAAAAAACACTGAGTGACATTACCTTGGTGGTAGTGAATAAATAGGTCTGAAGGGGTTTGTCACTAAAGCAAACACAGACATAAAGTGCCCTGATGAAGTGCACTGATGAAATTCCCAGGTATGCATGCTGTAAAAAAGTCTTACACAGCCGCTACAGTTCCAGAAAGACTGCTTTGGATTCTGTGTTTGCCGAACAAATTGAAAGGCTAATTTGTTCCAAACCACACTCTCTGAGGTTCAAAAACTGAACGCTACAACACAAATGAAGTGCTTTCTTTTATATGGAAGGTAAGTGTAATTATCACTGAACAGCAAACTATGAGAATTAAACAGAATCACTAGCAGCAGTAAAAGTTAATGATTAAAGGGCTCAGTCTAACTCTCAGAGGTGTTGTGACGTGGATGGTGAAACGAAATAAAGTCGTAGACTGAAAGGAGCTCGCCAGCACAGCAGCTCTGTGACATCCAAAACGCTGCAGGTAGCGCACCTGAGCAGGCTCACCTCCACTGCACACGATGATTGGTGTCAAGATACGATCAGTGCAGGTTTTACAGTCTTCCTGAATAAACAGCGAGGTAAAGTGACACCTACAATGGAAACAGTCAGAACTAACAAAGGGAATCTGATTGCCTGCGCGGCTGCACATAAAATAGTTTATTTGCAGAGAAAAGCCCTGGAAAGTCACATACACCCGGCTGAACGTACACTGACCTCTCCACTGTTATTTTTTTTTCTTATTTTTACCTTGACGCCTTTCTGACAAAGTAGGAATGGGTGAACTCCAAGTGGTCGTCCAGCCACGCTTCCATCCTCTCGTTTTCCAGGGAACAACAGTCCTCCATGGTGGAAAAGCAACAACAGCGTCTCCCCACTGTGAGCTCCGATTACATTTATCCGCGGAAGACCCGGTACCGAATATATGTGGAGGAATAAAGAGGGAGCAAGGCGGGAGAGAAAGAGGGGGGGTCCGAGAGAGAGCTCCTCGCTAGCCGGTTGGTAGGTCGGTGCGCGCGGATCAGAGCTGTGACTGCGCGCTTCCTAGTTGGTCAAGCGACTCTGAGTGAACTGGAGAGAGAGAACGAGTGAGCGAGGGAGTGAGGAGAGAGGGGGTAGCAATCGAAAAACCCAAGTATGAGAGATGTTATAGTTTAGTTTCGTTTGTTTGTTTGTTTTATGTAGAAACCACATTGTTAGGCTATAGCCTGACAAAGTTATTTCTACTAACTATTGTTGTTGTTGTTATTATTATTATTATTATTAGATATAATATTAATAATGCTTAAGGTTATTTTAAATTGGAGGACGGTAAACACGACAACAATTGGTCTATATATATATAAGTCTAATGATAATTTAAGTAAAGAAATAACAAATGTAACCTACTGCTACATGGGTTTGATTTGTATTGTTGAAATATTCTGCTTTGCTTCCAGTCACTGATGTTTGCCATTAGATGTTTATATGTTTGCTTCCATGGGTCAGCCAATCAGACTAACTCTGCATCTAAAATAGCATCGTGTGGCCATTGTTCCACACACTTCTGTGTAGATAAATCGTTGTCTTTTATTAACTAGTTAGCCTATTCTTGCTACTTCCCTAGATTTTTTCAACCTGGGAACACATTACCAAACTAGCCCAACTTTATTCTATCTGTACTGTAACAATGGGCATCAGCCTCTGGTTAGTAAGGTCCCATATTTGTGGTGTTTTGAAACTGGATGTAGAACACACTGTCTGGCTCTAAATATTCAGCTGTGTTTCAATCAAATGGGTAAAGTCTAATCTTGTTTATCCTTCTGTTTGACAGTAATATTTCCAAAATAAACTTCATATTGTATTCAATAAGACGTGTGAGCTTGTGACTGAGATCATAAAGTCATAAGGAATGTGTTTATTGAGGTCATAGATAAGGGAGGCAAAGGGCTATTTTCCCATAAACTTGCATACAACCAGCTTGTTGACACCAGATGTGGCATCCTTCACTGGCTATTAGGTTTTAAGCTTTTTTTTTGCATTGGCGCCACCTTTCACACTAAGAAAAGTGCACATTTATTAAACATTCTTTGTTTAAGAGAACCCAAGTAATAATTACCAAATGTTAAAACATTTGATGTCAGATCCCTGTCTGTCAGTGTTTACTGTAGACACTGCAGTGTGTGATATGTACATCAGTGCTGTGAATAAAGTACTTGTCTCAAAAGCAAAACTACTATAGGATACTAAAGTTTCAAACTAGGACTGGGCGACCTATCTAATATACTAATTGTAAGACAGGTTTTGCCGCGTACCATGGTTAAAACAGCTTTATGGTAACCATCGAGTTAAAATAGTTAAAATAAAACATTTCTATTAATTCAGATTTTGTTGTATTAAATGTAGAAAAAATACTGAGTGGTCGATTTGAATGAGTATACCAGTGCAATTTCAGGCACAATATGGTTTAAATTACATTTGTTTTTGGAGGTTATTTAAACATATTCTGATATATATTGTATATTGTGTTATAGCCCCAAGTATCCTTTAACAGAAAGAAGCAGTAATGTATGTCAAATATGGCTTGTCATTTGTGGTTCACATTGTAAAAAGATGTGTTTTAATTTTTTTTCTAACTCTAACCAAGTACTTTTTGTGATTCAAACAGAAATATAAACAAACAGCAATAGGAAAATGACACCAAAGCCTAAAAATGGCCCCAAAGCAAACTAGAATTCCTGTCCGCTAGTCAAAAGTCAGATCATGCTCACCACATCTACCACATTATTCTGACTAGATCTCAGTAAGACCATATTCTGAACAAAAAACAACATTTCATTACAGTCAGAGATTTTACAGCTTGCTTCTTTCTGGTAACTCATGCTGAGGAGAAAGAAAGTTGTGCAAAGTCCAAAATTGCCTCAGGTTATGCCAGTTGAATAAAACTGGTTAGCAGTGAGGACTACTAGCAAGTAGTGATGTGTCGGCCGCGAACGAAATGGCTCTTAGAGCCGGGTCTTTGACGTGAACGACGCGAGCCGGCTCCTTATCACGGTTTTTTTCTCTTTCTTTCTCTCACCCTCTCTCTCGCACTTTTTTTCCCCTTCACTCTGCACACAAGCCTTGTGTTTTGCGCTGGGAAGAGGGGGGAGGGGCCGTAGTTACACTGGCAGTAGCACAGGAACAGAGCGGGAGGGAGAGAGAGAGAAAGAGAGCAGGGGACAACAACTTCACATTAGAAAAGTATAGTAATCATCCACAACTATTTTCATTTGCAGATGATAAAGGATTCAGAAAGTTTATTCATGCAGGCCCATATGACAGAGAATATGCATCTTCTTTTTATTTTCATATTTTAATTTATATTTAATTGAGTTGTGGTTTGCAGTGTTTTCTGCTGTTTCACTTTAAATTTGTTTAAAAGGAAAAAGCTGAAAATTTAAATAGTTAAAAGTTGAAATATGAATAGTTGGTTTTTGTATTATATGATTTATTTATTACATTTTATGTGGAGTGAATAAATAAAAGTATATTTATGGTGGCCCCTAGAGACAAAGCACGTACAAACACGTACGCACTCCGAAGCACGTACAAACTCCAAAACACGTAAAAACTCAGAAGCACATAAAAACTCAAAACACGTACAAAACACAATGCTCCAGGATGCTAGTGTCAGTGTTGAGCTTTTGTTACCTAGTGGCTACACAAGTACCAACGACCAGATTTGGTGTGTGGTTGTAACAGGTAAATGAACTTTTTTTTAAAAAAATATTTCAATACATATGAGTGCTTGTGTATAAATACACAAACAATACACACATGCTTTCAATTGTGTAATTTAAGTGATCTAGGTAGCTCTGTTTTGGAAGTTCAGTTCATGCTAGAAATGTGTTTTGGAGTTTGTTCGTGTTTTGGAGTTTGTACGTGTTTTGTCTCTAGGGGCCACCGCATATATTTATATATAAACATATATAAATAAAACCACTTTTTTTACATTAGTAATTCCTTTTGTGCATAATTTTATATTATTGTTAATAATAAATTAATTAAAGCAACAAGACAACCTGAAGAGCCAGTTGGGAGCCGAAGGAGCCGGCTCTCTAAAAAGAGCCGGAAATCCCATCACCATTCACCAATGTTCCCTCTAAGCTGCACGCATGCGCAGTTGCGCACTGCGGGCTCGGTCTCTGCGCACAGGAAAAACTGCATTGTGAAAAAAAAAAATCTAACCTGAATTGAAAATAAAACTTTAACAATTCTGTTTTGCAGTGTAGTCAGTAAGTGACTGGCTGCTCCCTGTATGGGATTAGAACGATGCCACCTTATCCTGTAGTCCAGCCGATGATGCGATTCACATTCGTATATAAGCAGTTAATCAGCGTGGTTGACAGGCTATGACAGCGTCCTTATGTGCGACACCGGTGTTTTAGCTAGCAAAGCGTCGTGGCTGATGTGGAGTGAAGCCACGTTAATGACAACGTGTACAACCATTGGAGATGTGAGCAGGACAGACGGAACAATTGACGGAAAAAGTGTGGACTTTATACCAGTTTTTAAATTGTGTTGATAGGCCACGTAAAACCAGAGTTATGATAAAAATATCTGCAATGTTTGTTTTTCCTGAATGCTATGTTTGTTTATATTTACTGTGGTAAGAAACGGTAAAAACTGCATTTTATAAGGAAAACGTTCGAAAACACTCTCCGCCTGTAAGCAAAAACAAAACCAAACCCCCCCCCCACCACCACCCTTTCCTATTCGTCGAAAAAATTACCATGTTGACCAATCAAAAAATTACATGGCAACGTGGCATTTAGTTGTTTAGGAAAGGGGGAAGTTTTAGGAGTGACGGCGGTGTTTTGAGATGAGAGATTTGCCACGTTTAGCGCAAATCTTGTGTAGTTAGTGTGTAGTGTAGTCAATAGTTTTGTTGTGTGTGTCAGAACAGTGAGGCAACTGCTGAATGTTACAGGTGTTACAGGAGTGATACATCTCCTGTTGTCAGGCCTGAAGGTATCAGGCTGTTGTTCCCCTTTATCTCATAGTGGACAGAAATTATTTTTTGGAGTGACACAAATAATTTGTGTGGCATCAAATTTGATGCAGAACAGCTGATTGTTCTGTAAATAGTAAATAGAAGTATCAATCAAAGCTATTTCCTCTTCTTGTACAATAATCTCACTAGTGTTTAGCTTTTGACTACCTGCCTATATTGCAGGATTCCACTATCTTATGGCTGGACACATCAAGAGCTGCATACATAATGGAGCAGAAGTTACCCTTATTTTACTGCTTCTATTTACTCTATGACTATTTGCTTGTCCATTTAGTAGAAGGATGCATATGCCAGTGAGTAAAGAATCAGTCACACTAGTGTAAAAACAGGATTGCAATCTCGTTGTCGTGAAATTGTCATTAATGCTCTAATTTCCTCCCACTTGACTACTGCAGTTCACTTCACACCAGACTCAGTCAGTCTTCTCTTTCCCATATTCATCTTGTCCAAGATACTGGTGCCAGCTCCTCACAGGCACCCAAAAAAGAGATCATATCCCACCTCTTTTAGTTTTTCCCCCACTGGCTGCCAGTGAGGTTCAGAATCAATTTCAAGATCTTCCTGTTTGCCCCTTCATGGTTTGGTTCCAGGTTCCAGGTTTAAATTCATAGGAGAGTCAAATCTGTTCCCTCCACTGAGTCTACCCATAAAACTTATTTTTACTGACTGGCATTTAAGTCTGTCTGTTTGTCTCTCCTGTGCATTTGATTGTATATGTTTAGCACACAAAAATAATCTCTATTTATTTCTTATTTCTTTGTTTTTTATACGTTGTGTACGTTGTGAATTTGCAGTCAGTGGTTGTTTTTTTCCCTGCTTTTTGCAAATGGTTGCAAGTAGTTGTGGCATCCAATTGGTCATCTGGGTTGAGGGTTTCTCCACATAACTGCCATCCAACTTTGTTATCGTGAAAGGACTGCCAACTGCCAGGACACTGCAATGTTTAAAAACACAGGTGTATCATTATCACACCCACTGGTG